TAAGAATAATTTGATACAGAGAACATCAGCTATCCATTTACCAAACATCATATATGCGTGCTTAAGGGAGCCTACAGTACAAATCAATTTGTTCACTCTCACTAAATCATTACCAAAAAAATATATTTGAAGTAAATATTAAATAAATGTGATGCAGTCTTGTGGAACTAATAATATGTTATACAATTTAATAAACAGATGTATTTGGGCCTAACACACCTGGTTGTCATGAAATGGTTGCAACTTCAAGCTTTCAATATTTCTTCCCAAGCAAAGAGACTTCATCACCGTGCATCATAGCCTTATACAAATTCAGACCCTGCTTTTAAAACCGGACAGGAAATGTTGGCAGCAAGTCCAGAATTTCTTGACGCTTTTTATCCTTCAAGTTTGATAGTAAATTTATGACAATGGAAAAGGTTGTTGCATCAGGGGATAAATTATTGTTTTCCATTACACAAAGAAGTTCCACAACTTTGGAGGCCTTGCGGTTTTTGGAGAAACAAGAAATGAGGGTATTAAACGTCACCACATCTGGAGCACAACCCTTCTCCATCTTGCTTAAGAAATCATTTGCCTTTTCTATCTGCCCATTTTTACAAAGCTCTTTGATCATGACATTATAAGTAATTGTTTTAGGATGTTGACCACTTTGAATCATCAACTCAAACAATGACTTTGCTTCTTCCATCCTTCTTATTTTGCAAAGAGCATGAATCAATGTGGTATAAGTCACCGTGTTAGGATGCTGACCTTGCTGAATCATCAAATCTACCAATTTAATTGCTCCTTTAATCCTTCCTTCTTTGCAGAGCGCATCAACCAATGTGGTATAAGTTACTGTGTCAGGATGTTGACCTTGCTGAATCATCAAATCCACCAATTTATTTGCATCTTTCAACCTTCCTTTCTTGCAAAGTGCATCGATTAATATGGTATAAGTTACTGTGTTAGGCTGCTGACCATGCTGAATCATAAAATCTACCAATTTGTTTGCTTCTTCCATCTCTCCTCCTCTGCAGATTGCATCAATCAATGAGTTACAAGTTACAGTGTCATGACATTGACCTCTTTTAATCATCAAATATACCAATTTAATTGCTCCTTCAATCCTTCCTTGTTTACAAAGTGCATCAATCAATGTGTTATAAGTTACACTGTCAGGACGTTTGCCTCTCTTAATCATCAAGTTTAACAATTCACTCACTTCTCCTATCCCCCCTCCTTTGCAAAATGCATTAATCAATGTATTATATGTTACTACATCAGGATGCTCACCCTGCTGAATCATCGAGTCTATAAATTTATTTGCTTTATCCATCCTCCCTTCCTTGCAAAATGCATCAATCAATGTTGTATAAGTAACTGTATTAGGATGCACACCTCTTTGGATCATCAAGTTTAACAAGTGACTGGCTTCTTGCAATCTGCGCTGTTTGCCAAGTGCATTTATCAAAACTGTAAAAGTTACCACATCAGGTTGCACTCCTTCATCAAGCATGTGGATGAATAAGCTTCCAGCCTCATCCAAATTCCCCATAGAATAGAAACCATGTAGCATAGAGCTATAAACATACACATTTGGAGAAATTCTTTTATCCTTCATTTCAGCAAAAAAATGTTTTGCATTTTCAACCATACCATGCTTGCAGAGACCATCAATAATGGTAGAATAAGTAATTA